TCTATGTTGTTGTCTTGGTGCATAAATGCGGTAAACCTCCGATAAGATCTGGATATTTGATCTTGTTTTGCGTATGATGGTTATATTTTTTTAAAGCGATCTCCTTTATAGTAAGCCTTGTTATGCCTCCCCGGTCATTACTTGGATTATCAGCTCTGTCTGTGCATGCTTATCGATCATTTTCCCGGAATTCCCAAGAATTTCGAAAAAAGACGGTACTGTACTATTCCGGGGCCTGTGGTGTTTTCATGTTGGGTCTGGGGTATGCTGGGGTGCCCCTCTACCGTATATATTGTGCCGTAAGTGACCTTTTGGTAGGGAACTTGCTCATCACAGCTTTTTGGTGCACATAAGCAAGTTCCCACGATGAATTGGACATGTTTCATTGGAATCAGTTGCTTCGTTCATTTAAAACGACATACTCATTAATTAATCGCTGATATTTATTTGGATTAATATAACTTAATTGTCCTTAGTGTTAGGTGTTAGATCAGCGGTTGTCATCGTCGCTCTTGCTTTATGGCTATTTAGAAAAGCGGTAGCGGATCGAATACCGAGGGGGCTCGCGTCACAAGTTCTGACATAGTTGCAGCGATGAAACCGGTTCGGAATCGAAAGATAACTGTGGAGTTTTCTGCCGATACTTATTCCCACATGGCATGGAATTTCAAGCCTTCACAGAGAAGGGTAAGGTCAACGACATTCATCTGTTTGTTAAATTTTTCAATCCCTCTTTTTGAACAAATCAGTTTTTTCATTTGAGGGGTTATTCACTCACCGACTAGAATTTGACGGTTGCATGCGTGCTGTTCGGTCATGTGTATTTTTTCGTTTCTGTGGTCGCTTTACAGTATCCATAGAATGCCGCAATCTGACAAATTTGCTCTCGCTGATGAGCTGTTTTCTGCAGGGCCCTGTTAAATAATCAAATAAATAATTTGTTTTAGGTAAAGTATTGTTCTTTTTAGTAATTGTGCCCCAGTTTAAGGGAATATCTAATTGACAAATGAAACATTGACGTTCTACCTTGAGTATCTTTCATCACTTCTCCTGTTCTACACATTAATACCGAAGTAACGATCAAACCAAAAATGTTTTTTTGTTCTAGCTTACGATCGTACCTGGCGAGACAGCTCTGGCCTTTTATACTGCAAAGAACCCGACTTCCAGGCCCATTGTAGGCATTGCCACGTACACCGTTTTGCCTCTGGAAGCTGCCAAGTATTTTAACAAAATACAGGTAACTTTTATGCAGGCATGACTCTATCCCGCGAAATTTAGTGCTTCTGCTTTGAAGAACAGCGCCTAAATCCTGACGAGGAGGTAGGTCCCATCATCACCTCTCCTTGATCACGTCCATCTTCGACACCAACCGTATAACGCATGCTTCCTTGTTTGTCCATGTAGGTGGACTTGCCCGTCTTCTTTTTCCTTGACCCTGAGTTCGACAATGACCCACGGCTGATGCGTACCAATCGGATTACCCTGCACTACACGTTCTTTGAAGCAAAGAAGGAGAAACTCATGGTCCCTGGCATCTCGAAGCCAGTTCTTGAGGATGTTGCCTAGTTCCTCACTTGGACTTCTCTTGTACATTACTTAATTTACTCAGGGTGCAGTTACCATTTATTATGTTTTCACTCATGCGATTCTCTGGTTTTTGAGTTTTACCCTTTAGGGAGCAGGTTGCATTTTCTTTTAGTGAGTCCCTGGTATGTTAAAGAGAGATTCGCCCTGAGTAATTGGCTAACAGGATATCTTTAGATGGGCCTTAGTTCTTCTAGACAATCGATGATCACGTTGCCACAATATCATCTACCGTAGACCAATCATAAGTGTTGATTTTGATTTCGTCACACGTACTATTCAAACCTGGTGTCAGTACCAAATGACCTAGGATAAATAGCTTGTGGAAGGAGAGTCGGGAAGTAATGTTACAAAAATGGAATGCTTAAACAAAATAAGCCATTCTGACACGCAGCCACCTGAAAAATTGGCCAGGCTTGTCAAACGAACCTTGCGTTGGCCAATAAAAATCATCGAAAGATCGAGAGAGTAGACGGATCAAATGTTCCATGCTCTACACTGTTCGAGTAACCCCAGCAGAATGGATACTACTTTGCCGATTGTAAAATGCCTAATTTGTAGAAAACGGTGGAGGGTAATTCTTTGTTTTTGCATTAATCTCCATTCCGGCTGATGAATTGCGTCGGAATTAATAGGAAGGAGTCGGTGCATTGTAGTTTAACCACCTCTGCTTCACTGTAGCAGTAATGAAAAAACAGTGCGTCTGCAAATCAGTAAGTTTGCTCAGGTGCATGTGATATTGCACCATGTCGTGTCTTGTGTGATTTTACGATGATCGTCACCCACAACATTGTTTTATTCATGCTGACAGCGATTCCGAGTCGTCAAAACATCCATATGTCTGCCGTTTGGCATATAAAAAACTTCTAAAATTGTGATTGAATGTTTTTTTCCGGCTTTCTAATGCCATGTTTATAATTATAATTCTGCATGATAAGATGATGGGTAAGCAAGAAAACAGAAAACATGGGCCAGCTGTAGGAAGTGAATAAGGGTTACCCGGTTACCAGTATAGTTGCGGGTAAATAAGCCATCGTTTTTCCGAGAAATTAGGACCTGTCTGTTACCTAGGGGTAATAAATCTACGATAGCTGAGATTTATGAAAATCCGTCAGTAATAATGTAGATGGTTACCCTGAAAGTTGTGGCGACAAGCGGTATCTCGGTGATTTGAGAATCGCTTTCCCTAAAGTTTACTTTCGAAATATCGGCATCAGAGATGAAATGGCAGTGAGAATGGGATCAAAACTGCAAACCACTCCTATACCGCTCACTCCCATAGAATGCACAATCTCCATGACCGGTGTCCATGGCTTCCAGCTAGTGGGGTATCAAATTGGTATTAGTGACAAAGAGGGAAAAGCGGTGACCACATTCTTCGGGGATAAAACTGTTGCTTTACAAACTTGAAAACCATCATCAAAGACGCGGAAGGAAGTAAATTTGCGAACATGTAAGGGTTTAGTCTGGCTCAAGACCTTCCCGTTCCAGAGTCCTGTTGAAAGTGCTCAAGATAGCCGACCCAGTAACGGATAGTGTAGCCAAAATCGGCGCACTCTGCAAAGTACTTCAATAAAGCCTTGAAGTGTTGAAGCATCTAGAGGTTTATAGTTCTCACTGACGAATTTCGTTTAAGGTTCAGCTGTGAACGCTATTTACTCAATGCTGAAAGGTGTCGATAGTTGAAGTTACTACTGAAATTGAAAACATGGGCAAGAGGAGATGCCACCGAGGAATCAACGGGTAAATCCTTTGTAACTGATAATGGAAAGATAATGCTACTATGGACGGCCAGTTCGCCATCTGTTTTGTTTGCTTTGGGAAGACTTGACAGAGTGTTTTGTGGTCGGTGAAGCATGCATGCATTGCCTTGTTCTACATCACCGTTCGAACGTACACGGAGACTCGATTCAGCACATTACGTCGGAGCCCCTACTTGCTGGGGAACCAGGTTGAGCCTTTCGAAAGCAAGCCATTGACCGGACTTCCGTACCAGTGAAGTGGTTGAGACGTTACCGATTGTTAACATTGAAAACGATGAACCCGAGAATAAAAGAGATGGTACGAAGACGCTATGTGTGTTACCCATATAGGTCACAGCCCTCGTGCGTCACGACGTGACCTCTGAATGAGCTTTGATGGCCTTCGAGGAGCATCAACAGATAACAGGAGACGATGATGAATGAAAAGCACTTATTGCTGAATACTCAAGCAATGGGGTAAAGAAGACAGGCGAAACAAGAGAGGTTTTAATGCAATTAAACAGGCCAGAATTGTTCGTTAGTGGCCGTCCTTCTGAGTCCTCCACTTTGTCGGCGCCACCAATTATCTGCGTGCTTATCATCCATCCTCGTTTCTGGTTGGCTACTGATCCTGCTTATAGGTCATTCAAATACACGCAGACAAGGGATTTGCTGGGTTGATTTGTGATCCAATATGGCTGCGGCCTATGCCGGCACTATTCTATTTAATAGACAGTACAGCCTACAAGGCAGAATCGAGGAGGACAACTAGTGATGAACTCTTCTTACTTGTGGTACTTCAATAAGCCTGTTTTATCACACGTCAGGCATGACCGCTAATGAGCAGGGGCCAATAAGAGGTTAGGTATAGTCTCAGGAACCAATCAGCTTGAAGTAAACCTATTCGAACGGGTTTCTTCCAATGGTCGCCGCAAATTTACTAAACGCCAAGTTTGCTGCAAATTGGTCCTCCCCATTCCCGATACTTAGCTGTACCGACTCACTTAATCTGCTCTGCGTTTCTGTTGCATGGGATTCATAAGAACAGGTTAATTTCTCTTAACCTCTTATTTATCTCATTTTTACTGATTAGAACTTTTTCATTGCTCTCTTCGTACCATGGCAACATCTTCAAACCTGCCTGAAGCGCTAATCTGACTATTGTGAATTGTATTACCACCCTTTTTTCCATTCTAACCCCAGGTACTATAGAAAAAAACGCTCCCTAATCTTCAGCCATCTTTTATTTAAAAAAGAATACCGTGTGGACGAAATTGGGTCCATTTCATCAAAGTTATTTTGACAAATGTATCAACGCATTGGGAAAGTTTGCGCAAGGTTTTTCTTGCATTTTTTTTTCAGCAAAACGGAATGAAAGTAATGGAAAATAGGAATCGCAACTAGTGGTAAACCACCGTGATGATCCACGCTGACAGCTTGGGTTTCTCCGCCACTTACTCGCTTATGGGTTGGCCTTTTTTGACTTGTTGCTGCCTTTGCTCACCTTGGTCTCCTCCTTGATTCTTTTCAACTCCGCCAAATGTTCCGGCGTGTAGCGCCGTGTGTTGGGGTTGGGCACCTGTTCCATGAATTTGTTCTTAGCCTGGCAGACGTAGCACTTGTCGAAGTTGTCAGCTGAGCCCAAGAAGTCGCCTCGGCCACAGGCGGTGCAGAATTTGGTGCCGCAGAACTTGCATCGCTGCGTGGTGTCGGTCTCAGTGCAGTGGCCCCACACACACATTGCACCCACCTCCCTCCTGTCACGTGGTCTATCGATTAAATCTCTCAGGCTGCACAAACCGGCCACATGCCAGCTCGTTTTGAAACATCTGCGTCATTCTAAGGTTTGTCTGTGCCTCTACCTTGCCAGACGTTTGAGTCTGGTCCAAATAAATATTGAGGGACATGGAAGTCTTAAGCTTATTAAGAGAATGATTTAATTGGTGCAGACATTTCAGCATATTTATTTAATATAAAACTTAGAAAACGGGGAATTTAATCGTAGAAATGCTGTCTGTCTACTTCTATGACCTTGTGTCATCTCTTAGGCAACGCGCGAATGCCGTTGCGACAAATTTGCGCACCACGTCCAACGTTTGCGACTGTAGATCCGCTAAAGTGGGCTGCATTGACCGGAATTACCGGTAGTCGGATGGAGCCTCCCATCCTAATTTTCCCCATTTAGTACAAACTCTTCGAAACAGCTGTTTGGGTGACTCCTAACTGATCCGCAAGCTCCTGTTCGGTTTGCGTTGAGTTCTCATCCAGTAGAGCTTAAGATTCCACGTCTTCAACATTTCTAGGCTGTCCTAGGCGAGGCTCTTTACTAAGATCAAAATCACCGCTTCTGAAACCTGTGTACCAAATAAATACACGTTTCATAAGACACAGCATCGGCATCAAGAACACCTCAAATTGATTCCCGTGTTTCCGTGTTTCTCCGTCTTGGCAATTTTTTCCTTCTTCGAATTCGTATAAAATCCAGTGCTACTCAGAGAGGTGACGTAGCTCACGTAGAATTTTTGTCCAGTGTTCTTAACTCTTGCGTCTAATGCTTTCAAAACCCCAAAGAACCATGGAAATATGTCTATTTTAAATATAATTTTAGGCTCAAAAATCTGTCCATGCAAGAAGTTTTATTAACCAAATGACAACCCAAAGCTGATTGATAGATCCTAAAGTCGGTAATTAGGCGTAAATAAGCACTTACCCTACTTGAGATATGCAGATTCTCATTGTTACCTCAAACTAATCACAATACTGCAAAGATACTTTTAACTCCACCAATTCGCGTAACCTGCTATCCTCCTCAACTGGCCGAAAAGCGCGTTTAGGAGCTGTAGAAATGGGCTGCATTGATACAAATAACTTACCTAAATTATTTTAAAAAAATGCCTGCAGTTTCGTGTTCCTGGAGTGAATCTGCGTAAACGAACATCCTCATTTTTAGATTCGAAGGAGTTTATAAAAAAATTCAAGCAACTTCGGTGAAATGGTTTTGTTCTGGATAACAACGCATCTAGTCTAGGTCAATTAGGCACAACTTCAAAAGAATCGATCGATATTTGTAGCAGGTTAAACAAGGGGCATCAAGAGTTAGTGCGAATGAAGTTGTTAGCCAATTACAAACCATGGGGGGGGTTGAACTCGGAAATCGCATCACGTTCAAAGAAAGAGAATGATTTGTCACCACTGCTTCAACCAGAGGCCGGTAACCGCGCTGACAGACCTCGAACTGATCTGTTTCAACTCGCGAAGGACCTGAGGAGGTTGGAGAAGCGAGCGGCGACCGCTCATCGTAAAAGCAAAACCTCATCATCTAAACTGGTAGAAATTATGTCAGGTGTGATAAAGAGTGCGCAAGGCAAGTCACTTTCATCCAGGCAGGCACTAGTTCATCTTGGATCCAAAGTTTCTCTACCCTACTGCCGACCGCATTGGTCAAGGCACAAAGATGACCTTAACACACTTTTGTATGCAATAGATGGCTTCCTTCAATGGTCACGAAGCCGCGAACCAGTTAGGGGCTTTTTAAATATCTCCAATAGAACCCGGTTCAAGTGTTTCCGCTACTCTAGGGCGAATTTGCCCGTCCCCAGCATTCTGCCAAAACCTACCTCCTGGAAGGAAACCGAAATTGACGAACAGCCTTCTGAAGAGTGGCATTTGTTGCCCGATTCCGGGGTCGAGCAGCCAGTTTCAAGCCTTCAACAGATCACATTTAACGTGGACATTTTACAAAGCGAATTCTATGCAATCATTGGCCGTTTGAGTGGATTCAGTCACGTGGTCATGTGTGACCCGTCAATTGTGTTACCGCCTCCTCCCGTCGTGGATGACGATGAGGATGATAATGATGACGATGAAAAAGATGACCATTCAGACCGCAAATCAGGGAAGGAGTCGATCAAGGGGGATAACGATAATGCGACAACTCTCCTGGAAGACACTAACCAGAATCAGATCACATTTGACAAATTCAAGCCAACTGTCATCAGTTTAAGGCGGTCTTCAAAAGCATCAAGAATTTCAATTGAGAGCGACTACAGCTGCAAACTGACGATATTTGCGGCATATATTGCATTAAAGGTACGTTCTTCCTAGGTTCTTTTACAGCCAACATTGGATTTAATGTTTTGCATTCCTTAAATGTTTGGTCATTTAAAAACCAGAAGCACTTCCAGGTAAGAGTTGGTACCAACCAAAATCTGGCGTTATCCTGCTGTATGTTTGTATAAAATGTTTTGGCATGATATGAGACTTCGATAATGTTAATTAGAGCAACTCAAGCACAAGATCACAATGACTCCATTTAAAAAATCCACACATTTTAGGATCAACTATTCTGTAATTTGTTACTTTTAAATAATTTTATATCAGTAACATTATCCAGGACTAAATTTCGGTATAAATGCACTGAGAAATTATCCAGAGGTTGAAATTTCAAGTGGAAATGAAACCACTTTCAATTTTCGAACACAATTCATGCGATTTTCTGTCATAAAAGTGTTAACTAATTTCCAAAAAACATACATTTTTCGAAGTTGTTTTCCTGATACCTACTCAGCGATAGAATATTGTGCTGCAGTATCCAGTCCAAATCATCAATCAAACCGTAAACAAATGTCTCAGAATTAAAATCAGACTGCAATCGTCGGATCAACATGCTTAACTTTTCAGTATTTTCAAAATGGCTGATTGGTGGCTGTATTCCAAAGATGCTGGCCATGTAGAATCTGTTCGAACTTCGCTTACTTGCAGTGGGTGCGTCACATGTTGGCCGTGGGCAAAAAGCAGGGAGTGAGTGTCACCAGCGAGGTGTTCCTCGGCAGGATATCTGTTACCTCGCGTTCGGCAAGTTTGTTCGCCGTTCTGGACCTCTCTCCGGACACCATCATCACCTGTCCCAAACTCAAGGACTCTCTGATTGAAGCGAGCGTCAACGAGCAGAAGTACGCTCTTAGGGCGTCTTTCCTTAAAGGCGGCATCTTCTCGCGTCGGAGCGTACGAAACCTGCAGAGGTTGCCGATGCTGCTGCTCAGTCGCAATCGTGCTAGGTTCCGGCGATCGCCCAACGCCTCCTGGGGAATCGTCCCGAGCAGTCCAGCGCGCCCTCGCAGAAACCTGATGAAGAGCGCGACAGGCGGCGAACGCTCGACCCTGTTTTCACCGTACAAGTCTTTCCGACGGCGCAATAGCAGCACCAGTATACACCTAGCTGCTAGACGATCTTCAATAACCAGCATCTCGACACTCCAGGTGGATCTTGCTGGAAGGGAGAGTGAAGCAAGGGTAGGTGAAAGCGCCACCTTTGTATTAGCATTCATCTGACCAACAAACACCTTTGTCATCTTATCACACATCCCCTAAAGAGAGCCACTCTCTTTAGGCTGATTGTCTCCTCCCCACTGACTGCCCTGAGAGCTGACTTTGGTGTATTAAATCGGTCCAACACTACCGAAGTTAGCATCATAAGTTCGGTCCTCAAAGTATGCCGGAATCTCGGGTAAATGACCAGCTGGGCTGTTTGATCCAGTTGTTTGTGTGGTTTTCAGAGTCGAACAAAGCAGAGAATTACTCGTGTGCGTGGAACAGATGCCGTACCGTCAAGCAAAGAAATTGAGGCGATGTTCAAGCGTCTGCAGATGAAGAATGCGCCGGGGTATCTGGCGTTGAGACCGCTACAGCGCATTGCAGAGAGCATCAAATCCACACTGGCCGGACTCACAATTAGCATGATGCGCGGCTGTAAATATCATCAAGTCAAAGTAGTAAGTTCTTCCTACACAACTTTTGTGGTGTTGAGACACAAAGAAATGCGACCGGAATTGAACGATAAAGTCTTAACCGTTTATTGGACGTTTCAACCGAGTTGTGCTGCCGTATGCCTATAACAAGGCAGTCGATGAATAGTGTAGTTATTGACCTGTCGACTTTGGGCAAACTTGTAAAAGTTACAATGACTGAATGGTGAGATGAGTGGAGCGGAGAACGGGGGGCGTATGTGCACATGCAGACGGTCCCGTGGGACTGACGTGCTAGCTGGGAAAGGTGGGAGAGGGGGGGTCAGTTTGTCGAGGAATTAGTAGATAGGACGTTTTGGCAAGAGAACAATTTTATGGAACAGGCCCTATTGACGTATCCATTACTGGATTAATTGGCTGCTCGACATCAATAGCAGTGTTATTAGGGGTTCGTAAATTGTATTATTACAGGCGACTTCAAATCTTAACAGTGGAGTCACTTGTGGGACAAATTCTGTGACAAGATGACAATGATTTCACAACTCGTGGAAAGTTAAGTTCGCGCTTGCGGTCGGATGTGCATACGCACACCTTAAAATCGACGTGATGCTAGAACGCGGACAACGAACTCTTTTTTTGCTAAACTTGAGGGTTGACGTGGGTTGTGTAAGGCGAGGTTTCTCTCGACAAACCTCATTCATAGCCTCAAGAAGTAGTGCTTGTTCTCTACAGTTCAATAAACTCTTCTATCGTTATCGGTATTAATAGTTTAAAACCCATATGGTTTTCCTCGCCTTACCTGTTTTTAACGGCGGACATTTCAAATGTCTTAACTTACTGTCGATTTGGGTGTAGGTTCACTTCACTAACCTAATAAAAAAAACATTTCTTACGAATTATATTTGGACGCCTGTGCGTGAAAACCGCATCAGTATTTCCGTATCAAACGTCTGCGCCAAGGTAAACTTTCCGCGGAATAAAATATGCAACAGTGATTCGAATTTGATGGGATCAGTTGACTGGCGCAGTCAGCTTTCAAATTCATTCAACCCGTTTATTTTTCTTATCCTTAGACTAGACTTGGGCCTACGTTAGCATTTGTTCTTCGAAACCAAATCCGCGATTTGCTCAACGAGCATCACGAGTGCGAGGAGACGAAGTGCCGAGATCGGCCATCAACAGAGGAGGAGAAATCAGCGGATAATTCGGATACCGCGGCGTTTCGCGTGGTCACCCACGTGACTGTGGTTGAGGCTCTTGAGCAGGGCGTAATGACGGCTAGTCAGGCCTTGAAGGAGGACAACATGGACACGTACTACAGCTTCGTGTACAAGGACCAGGACGCCATCACCGTGTCAGCCGTCTACCTCATGCGGCAGTTTGTGCGCTTCCCTAACGTCGTCATCACCGCCAATCCAGTCATCCGAGAAGCCTACGAGAGGTTAGTGTTACAACCAAGTCCTGTCGTATTGATTTATTGCAAGAAAGCAGTCGATGTCAAGTATTCCTTTTGCAGCGATAAGTAAGCCAGATTACAGTCATATTAGCTAGAAGACAACAATGACAATTTCAAAGAACAGTTTATTCAGTCGCTAGGCATTATATGTTCTTGTGCGACTGTGCATTAGCGCTTTTGCCGCTGTTGATAATTTAAATTACCCACATTAACAGGTGATTGTTCTAAATGAAAGAAATTATCTGGAGATCAAATCAGGGTCGGTAAATTCGATTTGTAGTGAACATGTCAAATACCATGCACTGGTAATAACAGAATTTTAACTTTACAAAACCAGCAAATTATTTTTCGAAGTGTTAAAATATCCATGGTCAACTACAGTGCTGCCGGTTGACCGGTAACTACATGCAAGTGGTCCATAAATACGAAGGTTGCATTCTAAAAATATAAGTACAAAAGTTAAACCTTTAAAAAACCAATGAAATGCTAACAGTAACAATCGGAATTTGATATACACCACATCTTTTTTCGCAAAACCAATGTCGATAACGTCACATAATTTTGCTTGCACCCTTGCCCTGAAGTCAAAGCATTTAAGCTAAATGCGGTTATTCTACCTTCATTTACGATTAATTAGGATTGGATTTTCTAATAACAGAGAAATTGTCGTAGATATAAAGCCCCAAGGCGATACATTTCGAATGCATCCATTGTTTGTAGCTCACGCGCAAAACGCAAATTAAGTAAATTCAGTTAACAAAATTTCAAGGACATATGTTTAAATTTTAAGTGTCGAATCTGATGTTTAAAGATAACACGATTGAATAACGAATGCTTAGTGTGCCTAGAAAATGAAAATTATCTATTTTTAAATAACCTGATTTCCTTGTGCTTGGAAGTTAACATTTTCATGACCAATGGCGATAGATCACAATACGACCTTTGAACAGTCTAAAAAGGAATGTTACTTTTTTTCTTTTCTAGGTGGTTGAACTGAATCGACAAAAAATCCTGCAAATTGAGAGTTTTGCTTCTTTTGTACGCCATTGTTCGCTTAAAAATCCCTGTTTTTTAAATCACAGTTCGTTCTTTTGCCACACGACCTGGTGTGAATTTTTACATCATAACATAAATAGTGTACTACGTGGCAGTGATGTTTAGAGGACAAATTGGTAAATGATTGCTGCTTTTCAGTCTATCCTGAAATGTATTTCTTTAATTTTCCTATTTTAAATGAACAAGTTCTGTGCATAATAGTTGTTTTAAACAAATTTGGTTTTGATAATTATCCTTTAAGCAATCAGTTTTCCAAAAGAAAGGTATATAATTTAGGTTTTAGGCTGAAGTCTTCAGTGTGCACATCTGTAATTTATAAAAGAATCTTTTTTTACTTAGAGCATCCTCATTGAAATGAGTAATTTAGTCTTAAATAAAATATTATTTGTTTCTACATTTCTAACCGCCAGAAATATGGGATCAAACCATTGAAGCAAAGCCGTTGAATTTATTTATTATCCTCTTTATACGTATGAACAAATTTTTTCGGTGGCTTTTATACATTCCTGATATTAATCAACTCCATCTCAATTAGCCGCTTTTTCGATAGTGTAAGAAAAGTGATGATGAAGGTTAGTGTATCCTTAAAGTCATTTTATGGTAATGATAAATGTCATACCATTTTAAAATTCTCATCAGCTGATGTTAATCTAGCTTTTTAACTATTTCGAGCACTGGTATTTGAAAGAACCAGATATTTTTGCACTTGTTTAATTCAAAAGTGTTAGCATTTTAACGGAAGCCCGTTTTTTCAACTTTCGTCTTTTCGAATCACTACACTTCATCCAATAAAATGGTCAATGACTGGTGTTTTTAATTCTTTTTTGGTGGTAAGAATGAGTATAATGGAACAGTTATAGGACAAAATGAATAAGTGGTTTTGTTAACTGCGAAAATATAGGTAAGAGCAGCAAATTATGCTCGAATAAGATCGGGTAGAAGAAAGCTACACCGATTATTATACGATAATAAAATGTATCATCTATGAAATATGTTGACATGGCATATTACAGTGCGCTTTACCGATGTTTACCGACCCCATTTACACAAGAAGTGTTCATGAAATATCACGCTATTTGTTGATAAAACTCAATCAACACTGTAACAAGATCTGAGTTGTTCTTATCCATAGTTATAAAAGCACTGTTAGGATATCAAAATTTTTTTGCATGAAATGAGTTAATTTTTTAAAGCTTAATGTTAAGGTAAGTCTTTGTGCGAAGAGGTAAAATATGGCAATATTCATGATTTAAAACTAATTAACATTACTATATTTGCCAATTTTTGTAGCAACAGCTATTCTAATCTAGTTGTGACGTCATTTTATCAATTATAGCCATTGCGTTTAAGTTGATAAAAATTTAGGCCACGGTGGTGGCTCTAATTTTGGAGTACCATTTGTGGATAATCCGGTGTGGCTATGGTGGAGCTTACAAGTCCAGATCAACCGGTGCAGAAGACCATCAATAATGCTGTGTTTATTATACCCGCTATTTTGTTCGCTTTTTGTGTCATATTTTGCTTCCGAAAAATACGCTCCATATTAAACGAGCCTCGATCTTCCAAACTCAAGAAGCAAAAAGCCGTCAAAAGGAAATGACGAGGGTGAACTTAATATTTGTTATTTAATGATTATATCGCAATAAATGTCTGTGTTATGATGTTTCAATGCATACGCGGTCTTGCCTGGCACTCGGTGGGCATTTACTTTTAAAGCTGTACTCATTTGTTTACATCTGTTTAGCTTAGAAATTGTATTGCTCCAATATACTCACGTAGAACAGAGTAATACGGGCAAGGACTTGGTGGAGTCAATCTGATTTATTTTTCGTGCTTACTGTTCCCATCATTCCTGCATTTATCTTTGCCATCGCTTACTTCCACTCGCTTCAGTAGATTTTTCCGCGCTAAGTAGGTTGTATTTGTCAAGTCACGTGCTCATATTGACGTTTTATCACTAGCACTTTGATGTTAATGCACTACCTCAAAGTCCTGCAGAAAATAAACGCACCAAAAATTCAGCGATTTATTGAGGAGTAGCATTTGTTGGTTCGTATGCATTGGTTTTAGAGAAAGTTATACTTGATTCCTAAGATCAACGCCCGCTGGTAACCTTTTGTAATCAGTCGTTAAATCTTAAGATTGTAAAACATAATAATTCCTTTAAGTTGTTTTGGGCTACCTTTGATTCCGTCTAGAGTAAATATTAATTTATCCATATGTGGAATTCTGCCAGTTGTGCAAATATATTATTAATGCTTCACGATTTAAGTAATGTTTGTATTTAAACCTTGTTTATACTTTTATTTCCGTATCTACCACTTGTATACGTTTAATTCCATCCTAATCCTTTACTCTAATCATCCCCACAATTTCCAGTGACGTATGACTATGGTATAGACAAACGTCTTCTTAATGTTAGTGTATATAAATGGAGTGTTTTAGGTCAATGCACACAATGCAACGATATGCCATTGGTAATACTGATTTTTGCTTGCTGAAGTAGGATCTACTTTTCTGCCTTGGTTTGATATCATAAATAAAGGGAAGTCAAGACCTTCTTTGACACGATCCCTGCTCAGTTTGTTGTTAAAGCACTGCATAGTTCTTATCTTCCCTCTTCTTTTTTTAATCTTACTCAAGAACTAGGCTAAAAGTCGGATCATTTAATAGTCGTTTACTGTGCAATCAAATTTTGGTGTACTTTTGATGGGTGGAGTCCTGTTCTTGTTACTAAAATTTGTTTTCTTAATCCTCGCGAATTTCTTCTATGTTATAACGAGCAAAATCCTATCACTTGATTTTAACATCTGGTACACAGGGATACTTCTCCAGCACTAATTTGTCGGTGATTAATCCGGTGACAGATTACCTCCTTACCGTGTGTTGGAAACGGTGGGTGTTACGTGAATTCTTGTTAATTCGATATGTAAACTGAAGGACTTTGGACGGTCAGTTTCTCCAATTCTGCAACCTCGTGCCTCTTTCAACTACTGAGGCAAAATGGGAGGATCCAAGGGAACTCCTTTCGCGTTTACTCGTGTTTACTTGAAATCCGACTGTACGCTGTTTGTGCTTGTTGGTACCCAAGTACATGAATCCATGACACGTCACGGACATTTACCACGGACTTAAGTAGTTGACACGGTAGGAAATACAGGGATTTTTGAAAAGTCACTGCTACGTCTCAGGGATTTTTGAGCAGTAGGGCATACCAAATAACTTCCATACACCTGGTATGCAGCGTTCGATAAATTCGAAGTACCCCAAATAGCTGAAAATTTAACTGTAATTTCATAGAGGAGCAGAAGGAGGATCACAGGGCTTACAGATTTATTGAGTAGTCTGCGAATTACACGTTTGGCCTGTGCCCTTACAACAATCGGGTTTTAAGGGTCGCAGTGAAGGCACTTTAACTGGTCGTCGGTTAGTTTCGTGGTTGGGGGTCCACGGACCGAGACTGTCGTAGGCATAGTAGTCAGTCGGGTAGGGGTTCTCATCGCTCCACGCCGATTGGCCAGCCAGCCCCAAGGCGACGGACGCCTCGTAGGGTGTTAGTAGGGGCTTTTGAAACCCCGTTCCCCAATCAATGCTTAAACGAGGGCATGCAACCTGCGTTAGTGGAATATAAATTCAGAGCTGGTTTAAGTAAATACAGATAAAATCGAATAAACATGAATCCAAGCATGTTGGGGTACTTATGTTGGATTAGAGCGCCATTTATTTGGAAGGTAACAAACTATTCACGGTGGCAACCGACATAAGAAAGAAAAAGGTAGTGTGACTTTGGGCTAACAACTGACTCCACTGGTGAGTGAGAACTCCTAATGCAAATGAGTGGCTTTCAAGCCAGGTGAACAGTAGATTTACCTGAACCCAGGCATCAATTTTGTCGCCAAATAGCTGGAGTTTGTCGGGGAATATTTCCGAGAGGAGAACAACGATGGACTTACGTCCCAGTTCATTTATCCTTTTTTGCAACAACTGCACCACTGGTGGTGATCCCTGACGTCCAAGAGTACCTTGAATAAAAATAATTAATTTAGTTGCTTAAAGTGAAAATCCAGTTGGGTAATTTGACTGTATAATTGGTGTACCCAGAATTATTCCAAAGCATTTGGCGGATCTGGCAGTTTCAATGGCGAGTGCTCTGGCCGCACGCATTGCCACATGGTCGTAGGACTCACGCGTTAGCGTTTTGTTGTAGGGATCATACATGTATGCGGGAAGAGATGGGTTAGCTAACATTGCGGATTCAAGGTGAAAGCGACCGTCGCCGATAAAAAGCAAAAAATCAACCCCCGAGACCTTCAAGTTAAAAACAGTAACAATGTAAGGAGAAAACTTTACTTTGTCATCAAATGTTTACAAAGACAAGAACACGATATCTAAATTGTTTTTGTGGTAAGTGACTGTTTAAACTGTGAGTAATTTGGAGACTACAAAAGACTGAATAGGTCTACATTCACATACAAAGAATTTGTCGGATGTTTCTATCACTCGGGCACCAGCAATTTAGGACTTAATTCATGGTCACTGAGAGAAAAGTGGGAAACAGAGATATGGCACATTACGGACATGAAGTAGCTGGCCGAAAACTACTAGATCAGGTCATACTGACTCTGAAAAATTGAGCGGCATCGAAATATAAAAAATTAACAAACAAGAAGAACAAAGGTTACCCTAGGTGAAGTGCAGCCGAGCAATTCACCTGGTGAAAGTGGAAGGCGTTGTGGAATGATCACGTCGAAGTCACTTTCCTCAAGTGCTTTCTTAATGGCCGGCAGACTTGTCACAAACTGAATGGTGGAGACGAGTGCAAATCGCGAAGATTTGGGAATAAGTGCTTTAACACTGTCGATTAAATGAACCATATCGAATTTAATATCGACGAAGACATACCTTTAATGAAAAGGTAGAGAACCTAAGAAATTTATTTTAAAATTAATGACTGCAACTCGTCAAAGAAGGAAAAACAAACGATAAAGGTCGAAGCCAACGCATTGAACCAGATCATGGGAGAGAGCAAACTTATTCACTTACAAAACTGATAAGCTTTCAACTGGAATTAGACAGCTGTGACCATAATGCACAAGTAGATCGGCACCCAACGCCTTCGCTGAAAAATCATCAATGCAGCATGCGCCGTATGTTACATCGCCAAGTATGATGATATCGATCTCAGACGACAAATCCAGTCCACGATCATGTTCTAAATCCTCCTGATCAAGTTTATACGAGGCGCTCCCAAAACGCTTAAATATTTCGCTCAAAATAGTGGCGAAACGTAAAAGGCCCTCAGGCATTTGTAGGGCCACGCACTTGGCCTTTAAACACCGAATTCGCCAGATTGTCTTGTGGACTTCGAAATTATAGTTGCTGGGCAAGTAATTCTGGATAATATCAGTAAGAACAGGGTCGTTCAGAAGCTTATCCGGTATACGAAACGGATTAAACCGCTTAGGAGTCATGATTTAACAGAAGCGCATATTTCGATATAGCCTTGAAAAAAAATTGTTCAATAAAACATTTTTGGCTCAAATTATGATAATCAACATAACTATTGGTTTGATTTGTATTACATAAAGAACATCATTGTACATGTGATAAATTCGTGCAATCAAGTTAAAACTTCCCATACAGTCATAATCAATTCTATATTGCCTTCTTGTGTCATATTTTGCCACGGAAATAAAGGCAGACAGATATTATTGTCATAATAATATCTAGCATAAGCCACAGTTTAAAAGGATAATTTTTATTATTTGGAGAATGGCTAAAGGATTTGATATCTAGTCTTCACAAACACAATTTGCGAAAACTCAATGCAAACATTTTACAATTCCACAGATAATTATGACTTTACAAATATATTTTTCTTTACGATAGCAACAATACGCACTATTTATTTATTCTTTAGAATTTTTTTCGAATGCGATTTTTTTATATCCAGCTTTACTAAATGACCGAATTTGCGGCTTAGACATTTCTTTTTACCAGAATGTAACGTAACAAACACTCCTAATCATTTTACAAATTTTGATTATACCATATACAACTCTTTAAAAACCTAATTTCGAGATTTCGCCTTGTTCTTTAATTTGTCTGCCATTAGGCATTTCAATACTAATACTCTGAATTCATAAATCTGGTAACCCAATTATTACGACAATGAATTACTTAGAATAATAGTGAGAGCGATTTTTTCTACTTCTCTAAACACAAATTTACCGAATCCAATTAATTAATGTACATGGAAATCGCACTTTTGATTTCACTAAACCTGAATTTAATTAGAAATTTAATATGAGTCTTTGCGTTATGGCTAGAACGGCTTCTGTTCTAAAACTGCCTCATTTAATGTTATGTTTATAGTTTAAATGAACAAACTCACCCATTTTGTCCCATGAGGTATGTCTACGCTTCAAATGCTTGAAATAATAAATGATTCTTGTAAGACAAACATATATATGTGAATTTAAGCCTAATTTAAGGTATCTTTTAAATTATTTTTAAATTCACAAAAATATGTTATTCTTTGTTAATGGATGTGTGGGGAATATTATTTCCGTTTGGAAATTGCCTTCATGGTTGCAATAAACGTTAATGAATTAGTGGAGCATTAATGGAAATTGCTGTCCAATGCAGCGCAGTGGTTCTCCAATCATATAGTGGAACAATATTGATATGTCTAAATCGCATTTGTTGACAAATTGTCTCGATTTTATTACGGGTTTCGGTGATCAATAACAGAGCGCTAACAAATATGCCTTTATGGTATAACACTTTAAGTAAAATATGAGTACCTCGAAACTCCTATTACGTGATATAGGGTCCTTTTCATAATCTGATTGCTTTTTTTCGGAACACCATATGTCGTCTAGGCACGTCATGGTAGACTGATGATGTTTTATTGCTCAATTGTTTGCAGCAGCTCAGAATTAAAGCTCTTAGAAGTGTCGTTGGGAGAGACTTTGCAGTGCTCCTTCTTAAAAATCCATGCAGGCAAATCGGTTTACATTTGGAGTGCTGTTTTGCAAGATGACATGAAGTTAAATCAAACGTCTAAATTTAAAATGACCCGATTATTAGCTAGTAAAATCACATCCAGCAACTTCAAATATGCCTACCAAATAGGTACATAAATTTATTTTTCTAATATTAGTAAAATCCGGGTTCAAGGTAATCTTTTTAACATTAACTAAAGAATCGCATTAATTTCAGTTCAACTTATTACTACTGAATTCTTGTAAAAGGATACTTGATGATTTAAAGGAGATGATATTTTTCACGCATTCACATTAATTCAACCACGTTAAGAGGTAACAGTTTAGTAATTTTAACTTCAGATGGTGTATATTTTACATGTCGCTGTAGAAGTGATTGTTTACAGCACACTGCATTAGCATCTAACTTCATTAGGATCGAAATGTTAAGAAGTTGTTAATGGTTGTGAGTTAGTTTTGGTTAATTACTGAACTAATTTCCAGTTGATTATCGTTTAGAAACCTAGAGGAAGATCGAATTACAGCCTCTTTAAGGGCCGATCAGTTGACATTTTTTTCATAAGATGATTAATTCAAGTGTCAAAAATACAATAAATAGCTCTTTTAATATAGAGTGATTCTTTTGATGGCTTAGCCAGTGAATAAGTAAGCAAAATTAAAGTTCATTTTCTGTCTTTGGGACTCAGCTGTGCGTGGAAAAATGGTTTATGAATACGCATTAGTCAGCTCCTGTTAATTGGTCAACTTGGACTAAGAATCAAGCTTGGAACAGCTTCCTCTATTTTTATTTGTTTATTTAAAAAAAGAAAAGACGTAAAGGGCACGACTAGCTGAATCGTGTTTCCTCTCCTATTCTCCTACATGTCCTTTCTGGATCAAGTCGAAATTTAAATGTGCCATGTTTCGTACACAATTGCATAGCAAAATATAAGCTCGGTGGACAGATTGCGTCCACAAAGCGTGTTTAATAAAGAAATTGCAGAGTCCCCACTTTTACGGCTTATTCCAGGTGAACAGCAAGTGAATTTGCTTAATAAGCGCGTCAAGCACAAAAATTGAGTGCATGAAAGGAGTTAAAGCTAACTTGTGAGAGAATCATGTAATTTGCACAAGAGCTTGTAAACGTTGAGAAATAAAAACAGAAATTGATAAATTGATTGGCATAACTATTTTTCATGAAACTGCGGCACACCTGATTATGTTTCAAATCGTGTTTAAACTTTCATTTTCGCCCAAGTCATTTTTGCCAACAAGTACGCACATGAATTAATCAGGCGACGATTGTTTACATCATTAGCTATGTTTGTCTGTTTTTTTTTCAAAGTCAAATCCCGTCCCAGGCAGCTATTTTTACAGTGTATTTGCACATTCTGTCTTTGTTTTGAATCAGAGTGCACTTTTCTGTAGTAGGGATTATTTGACTCCGGATTGGTCCTTTTAACTCGATTTTATCCAATTACAGATGGGTTTTTGAAATGTTTGTACCTACGTTGTGGCTTCCTTCATCGAAAAATGATGATTCTTGAGGCGGATTCTGTGTTGATGATGGCATTATTTCAGGTTATTTTAATCTTTGACTACTCACACTTCTTCAGGTACTCAGTTGTATTCAGACTGCCTAAAAGTTCAATATTTTTGCTTCATTGTATCATTCCTTTAATCTTTTCTAGTTATTAACTGGAATAAGCAATATTTGCTAGTATTTGGTTTAAAAATGCCGTGAAATTGTGGGCAAAATGACATATAGCTCCCAAAATATTAGCAAAACCGGTTTCATTGACGCAATATGCAGTTGAATTCCTTACTAATTTAAATTTAATCGATGCAAAGAAAGAAATGTAACTGTTTCTGACTAAATTTTCATGTATGTAATGCAATTTCACCCATTTTAAAACTTGATCAGACCATTTTGTACAATTTTTCTTAATAAGCGCAGAAAAACGGTCATTTGCTGGTTTTGTGCGTTGAGAGATCTAGCTTGAATGATTCGTGCGTGTTGATGACGTGGTAGGTAACTTGGTGTACACGACACTTAATGGCACTTAACAAATACACTATGCTTGAATAAACACGTATGGGTTTTGTACAGAAAATGGGTACTTAGCATCTAAATAATGGATTTTGACGCGAGCAAATCTTCAAAAAGTAGCACTGCCATTTGACCCTTTTGATCATTCTAGTGGAGTTTTAACTTCATTTTAACATAAATCATTTTTACCAGCAAGTACACATGAAATAATCAGCATGTGGTCTTGAACCACGCCGGGGCCACTGAGTAAAACCTGGCCCGATTACGCTTCCCTGCTACCCGCGGTGGAGAAATAGACCGGGGAGGACGTGGACACAGTTGTTTACCCCAGAACTCAACCACGTTAGTGTCCTTATGCCATGTGTAGAGTTTGTGTGTGTGTATTTATACCTCAGATGGGCTAACATCGAGACCTAGGTGTGAGGATAATCCAGGACAAGTGTTCGTGCAAATTAGAGGGGAGTTGAGGATCCGCGCGGCCGGTGACATGCTGGGAAATGGGGGACCCTGGGTCGGAGGCTGGAGTGATCAGATTGGGAAGAGTGAATCAGCGCCATTCGCAACAAGATCTTTGATGGCAAAAATCTGCTTAAACCTTAATATCTTCCCTCTCCACGCAGTACTAGTTTGAAAGCAGTATTATCAATCCAAAAACACCAATTGGAAATCAAACTTTTATGATCATAACATTTACGCCATGATGCAATCAAATTTAACCCATCCCTTTCAATCTTCGTTTCCTGTTCCTACTACAGCACACAGTTAATAGTGTGGGGAGTGTTATGTTCTGAAGAATTTGCATCACGATGGTCAGTATTATTAACAAACAGGAAGCCCCATGGGGTAAATGTTCGGCAATGAAGGTGTAAAACACAGGGCTGCCTTCCATCACTGCGATTTAAACGCAAGGCTCCATAGCAGTAAAATGTGATGCAACTTATCGTCACTGAATGAAGCGCCGTAGCCTAATGATGCATCCTCAAATGGTGTGGTCAACTAAATCGATTACCAATACTGACAAGACTTCTCCGAGAAGTTAGCTCCGTGAGAATGCTGAATGTACCACGTCAACATCTACTACAACTTGATAAGATCAGACTTATAATCTCGGCCACGACTCTAGATGGAACAGCGATCGCCGAAGTAAGCAGGAACGACCAAGTACCGAATGACTAAAACTATGACTTATACATGGTTCATGGACCGGTATGTAAAGCTGGGTACCGACGTTATCTACTTCTGCAGGCACAAGCAAGATTCAGCGTCATAATTCCATACAATTGAACGTGATATTGTCGAGAGTTCAACAATACATTCTGACGAATGGCTAGGTTGGTAAGTCTAGGAACGATCATTTAACCATCAAGCAAAATGCAGCGTGTTTACAAAGACGATTACGACCACGTCGTAGCAACATTAAGGATGTGTTTGAGTG